TGGTGGACGTTGACCTTGAATTTTGGAATTGTAGTTCACCTCCATCCAGAGAACACTGTGGACTCAAACAATGATAGATCTGGACCAAGCTTGACAGGAATACTCAATATGCCCAAATGTAAACACAGATGGAGTTGGGGGGAAATAGTCCTTGACATTTGGGAGTTGTAGTTACTAGAATGTATAGTTCACTTACAATCAAAGAGCACTCCAAACCCCACCAACGATGGAATTGGGCCAAACATCCCGCACAGAACCCCCATGACCAACAGAAAATACTGGGTTTTCTGGTGGTCTTTGGTGACCCTTCCGACACCCCCCTGGTGACCCCCCCCGGGTCTTGACTTCCCAGGTTGAGAAATGCTGCCTTAAGGCCATCCAGTCCAACTCCCTTCACCAGGGCAAGAAAACATAATCAAAGCCCTCCTGACAAAGGGCCATCCAGCCATTCACACACACACACATGTATATGACAGATGCAGTATCAAAGATTTGAAAGGGACCCCTAAAGAAGGACAATGATATGTTGCATGTTCCAGAGTAGGCAAACCAGACAATCTCCACATCAACACTGGCAAAGAAACAGCAAGAAATACTGTTTATCCACAAGCATAAAGAAATTACATATATTAGAAACCAACACTTTCTCATTACTTTATTTTCCAGATCACCAGACTGGGCCACAGCAATGCATGGCAGGGGACGGCTAGTAATAATAATAATAATAATAATAATAATAATAGACAAATGTGCCACAGTGGCATTAAAGAAAGGGAAAATTACAGCGAGGACATAGAGATGCCAAACGGACAAACCATAAAGTGCAATCAGCCTGAAGCCTATAAATACACGGGCATACTACAATTGGACAATATCAAGCATGGGCCTGTGAAAAATGTGGTCAGCAAAGAATATGTCTGAAGAGTCAGAAAGGTTTTGAAGAGCAAATTAAATGGCAGAAAAACGATCAAGGCTACCAAAACCTGGGCCATCCCTGTCATTAGATACACGTCTGGAATTGTGGACTGGACACAAGCAGAGCTGGATGATCTGGACAGATAAACAAGAAAACTGCTGACAATCCAGTACTCATTACACCCGCATAGTGATGTTGACAGACTTTACCTGCCCAGAAAATCAGGAGGCAGAGGGCTTCTGCAAGTGAAACAAACGGTAGAAGAAGAGAAAAACGCACTGGCAGATTATGTGAAAGGCAGTCAAGAACCAACATTGAGGGAAGTCAATAGTAGAAAACTGCTTCAAGTGCAAAAGACAAAGAGTGAATACCTTAAAAACACAATCCAGAGGAGAAGAGAAATCTGGCAAAAGAAGGCTCCCCATTGACAGTCCCTGACAAAAATTGAGAGCCAAATCGACAAAGAAAAAAACATGGCTGTGGCTCACAAATGGAACTCTGAAAAAGGAGACGGAGGGCCTGATTCTGTCAGCCCAAGAACAAGGCATTAGAACCAATGCCATCAAAGCCAGAATTGAAGTCGACAACAGATCCCAAGTGTAGACTCTGCAAGGAAGCAGATGAAACACATCCTCGGATCACATCCTCAGCTGCATCAAGAAGATCGTGCAGACAGACTATAAGCAGAGGCATAACACCATTGCCCAGATGATTAATTCGAACTTGTACCACAAATACCACCTGCCTGTGACAAAGAACTGGTGGGATCACAAGCCAGAAAAAGTTACAAAAAATGAACACATCAAACTACTCTGGGACTTCTGAATTTGGAAGAGTTTTGGAGCACAATACTCCTGACCTCACGATCGTGTTAAAAACCAAGTATGGATCGTCGATGTTGCAGTCCCAGGCGACAGCAGGATTGAAGAGAAGCAACTGGAAAAGCTGACACAGTATGAGGATTTAAAGATAGAAGCGCAAAGTCTCTGGCACAGGCCAGTAAAGGTGGTCCCAGTGGTGATTGGCACACTGGGTGTAGTGCCTGAAGACCTTGGTCTGCACTTAAACACAATCAGCACTGACAAAATGACCATCTGCCAGCTGCAAAAGGCCACCTTACTGGGATCTGCATGCATTATTCGCCGATACATCACACAGTCCTAGACACTTGGGAAGTGTCCAACATGTGATCCAGTACAACAGCCAGCAGAGTGTCTGCTGTAGATTCATCTTGTTGTGTTTCAAATAATAATAATAATCATCATCATCATTATTTATATGTCGCTTTTTCCCCACAATGGGAACCCAAAGCGGCTTCCAACGTGTTCAAAACACAATACAAAGTTAAACAACAACATTATAAGCAATCAAGATAAAACATAAATAGGCATTTAAAAACAATATACATTACTACACTGTCCTGTTGTATTTTATTGCACTTAGCATCGCCCAGTGAAGATTGAACCTTCTTGTCTCTTCAGCATAGGTTTATTTGCTGAAGGCTTGTTGGAATAGAAATGTTTTCAACTGTTGCTTGAAGGATGGTAGGGAGGGTGCCATTTCTTTGTTGTTATTGTTGCTGGGGAGGGTTTCCAGAGCTGCGTAACAGCCACCGAGAAGGCCCTCTCTTGCATCACTGCTAACCGTATTAGGGATGAGAGTAGGAAGCGAGAGTAGGGCCTCTCCTGATGATCTTAGAGTTCGAGCAGGTTGGTATAAAGATATGCGGTCAGATAAGTAAGTTGGTCCTGAACCGTTAGGGCTTTAAAGGTCAAAACCAGCACCTTGATTCAGGCTCAGAAACAAACTGGCAGACAGTGAAGAAATATTTTAATAGCAAGCTTTGCACAGTAGACCTTTAGATAGCTGGAACTGAAACAATTAGAACTCTCAAGCAAATGGCGAAAATTGAAGAAATAATAAACATTAAAATACATATGCAACACAGTAAAACTGTGTTCCATTAATCTTAATTTCCTTTAATTACTGCATTTCAATATCAAGCCAATATGAGTTTATGGTATGGTATAATATGGGGAACATACTATTAGGCATATTTTTAAGAAAACCACCACATTTCACTGCATCTACCAATACCCATGGGTGCTGGTTAACTGACAGTCTATATAGGAAACACTGCATGAACACTAAGCACAAATTAGCTGCACACAGTAACATCCTGTGGAAACTTACTGGCAGCACATGGGGTGCAGACCCAAAATTAATAAGAACACCAGCCCTGGCCTTGTCTTACTCAACTGCTGAGTATGCCTGCCCTGTTTGGCAAAAGTCTGCCCACATGAAGCAGGTGAACATAGCATTGAACGAAACATTCAGAATAATCACAGGATGTCTTAAACCTTCACCTATTGATAAACTGTATAAGGTAGCTGGCCTTGCTCCCCTGAAGTGCAATGGAAAGTTGCTGCTGAGAGAAATGAGGTTGAACACTGTGAAAGCCACTCACTGCATGACTATCAGTCTCCTCCCAGTAGACTCAAACCAAGGAAAAGCTTAATGAGAACCACCACTCCTCTTAATGTTCCCCGAGCAACAGCAAGAGCATCACTCTGGGCAGCTAAACCAGGAATTCCCAATTGGATGCTTCCCCCGTCCCACGAGGGTCTTCCTCCAGGGGCAAACCAAGAACGGGCAACTTGGAAGTCCCTGAACAGACTCAGAAGTGGAGTGGGCAGATCAAAAGATAACCTGGAAAATTTGCACTACCAAAAAGAATCCTCCACTTTGTGTGACTCTGAAGCAGAACAGACAACTCTGCATCTGTATGCTTGTCCGCAATCTCCTGCGTCATGTATGGAGGAAGAATTATTTGGGGCTACAGTCAATGCGGTCGCTGTTGCCTGTTTTTGGTCAAAATATATTTAGCCTCTTGTGCTCCCTCTATTTTGTATCAGTTTTATACTAATTTATGCAGTGCTTTTGATATGAAATAAAAAAAACTGAGAGTCTACTGTATTTCAGTTTTTCTTATTTACCAAAAACAACCTCATTTTTTTCAATTTCCCCTAACAGATTGCAACTCCCTATTTTTAAAAGAATTGTTGGCAAAGTTGCCCTTCTTTGGCATTCAGTTCACTTCCAAGGATGTCTGGAGGTCACATTGCTTTAGTGTGGAAAGACATGCCGCATGCCTAATTATGCACAAAGCTAGCAAGCCCAATGATGCTCAACTTCTAATGAAACTAGATGAGAGATTCAAAATACT